GGGAAGTGCTCATGCCATTGTACAGAACACTGGTGAGACCTCACTTGGAGTATTGTACACAGTACTGGAGACCGTATCTTCAGAAGGATATTGATACCTTAGAGAGGGTTCAGAGAAGGCCTACTAAACTGGTTCATGGATTACCAGGAAAGGTTAAAGGATCTTTACATGTACAGCTCAGAGGAAAGACGAGACAGGGGGGATATGATAGAAACATTTAAATATATAAAAGGAATCAACACAGTAAAGGAGGAGACTATATTTAAAAGAAGAAAAACTACTACAACAAGAGGGCATAGTCTTAAATTAGAGGGACAAAGGTTTAAAAATAATATCAGGAAGTATTACTTTACTGAGATGGTAGTGGATGCATGGAATAGCCTTCCAGCTGAAGTGGTAGAGGTTAACACAGTAAAGGAGTTTAAGCATGCGTGGGATAGGCATAAGGCTATCCTAACTATAAGATAAGGCTAGGGACTAATGAAAGTATTTAGAAAATTGGGCAGACTAGATGGGTTCTTATCTGCCATCACATTCTATGTTTCTATGTTTCTATATAGGGACACTGCTGCATTGGCCTGCACAGCCTAAACCGCAGAAGCAATGCTGGCACCCACCAGGGCACCCAATCCAGCACAGCAAAGGCCTGAATTACCTGGGCACCCTCAGGCACTGCAGCATGACAGGGCACACATTCCAGCACAGCAAAGGCCTGACTTACTTGGGCACCCTCAGGCACAACAGCGTGACAGGGCATACACTCCAGCACAGCAAAGGCCTGACTCACCTGGGTAACCGCAGGCAGTGCAGCCATCACCACCAGAGTACTCAGATGACTCTGCTCCAACTACTAAATGCAATCTAAAGATCTTCTTGGCAGACATTCACAAACTCCTGGCGGCTGACTCAGCCCTCATCATGACCAAATTACACGCAGTCACAGGCTACCGAAGAAGCGGTAGAGACCGTTCATGCCCACCTAAACACGATGGGAGACTCAATCAAACAAATCCAGCAACAACAAACATACCTGTCTCTCAAAATGGCCGCCATGGTAGACATGCTACGCCGCTCACACATAAAGATCCGAGGCATCCCCATGGCCGAAGAACTACCACATTACATCAGGCTCCTCCTAGCTACAGTGCTTCCCATGCCATGGTAAAGAAAATCACTATTGACACTATACTGCCTGCCAGGCCCTACCCAACCAAGGTCCCTGATAGCCAAATATGCCCTTCTCAGATATGCCACAGTACAAGACAAGATACACATCATGTCGGGTTTGAAAGGCAAGACACCCTTGACATTCGAGAACTCCTTATTAATGACCTGTTGAAAGCCATACTCCTGTAGCTCAAATCATATGGTACAGTCACCACACAGCTACGATCAACAGGAATAGCCTACAGGTGGGGCGCTAATGAGACACTAGAGGTAAACCATGATGGAACAACTCGTGTCATGACCTCCATGGAGGAAGCATCACCCCTCCTTGCCACCCTGGGACTGCCCATTCCAATAGCTATGCCGCTGGGGAGACCTCCCAAGAACATCACTCCGTTTGTACCAAGACACAGCAAATCACGACCTCCGGTGTCTTGAATGTGGGCGGACTGATAACACAAGTCTTGCTAATAAAACAGCTGCACACATTTAATGTTGAGTTCCTAATTTGTTTTTCGTTGCATATGTTCCACTATCACAGGTCACTGTTCAATTAACCCTATCTTGTAGGGAGCATTTGCCTAAACACTTGGTGTCTAAAAAACTCCCCCCACCCGCTACCCCTTTGGCTAGGGGCAACCACTCTAGATGCATCACCCATGCGCTCAACTCAGCTTAAAACATACAGTCACTCTTTATTAGCCCAGCACAAAGAGCCCAACCCTAGGGCATCCATCTTACTAATGCAATGTTGTTTCTTTATAATGGGTTATATACTTTTGTGCCCACATGGTGTACTAAACCCACTAATACAGCTCTACACATGTGCTTCCTTCGTACATCATATCTCTTTCTAACTCAAAGGGTACACAGAACATATTGACACTTTTGCATTGAACATAATGTATTGTTGAACATTTTATTGTCGTTCCTGAACCTGTTAATGCTTGACCTAAAATATGGTGCAATTCTCTAGCGACATATTACCTGTACTTACATGCAAACGTTTGAGCACAACCATAAAGTGCAATCACGTAATTTGCACTATAACTTTAAAGTGCAAATAAACAGTAGTGCAAACAAAATCATGATATCCTTAAGTGCACTATTTTTTCAATAAAGTGCAAAAAACAGGAGTGTAAAACAATAGTGTGAACACACATTCATTAAGTGCATAAAATCATAAATGATTAAAAATGAAACTATTTTAAAGTGCTTCAAATTCACTTGCAATATTTGCACAATTCATTGAATATGTAAAGAAATAAGAAAAAAAGAAAAATATAGTGTAATATTGTCATAAAAGGTAATAGCCCATAAGTATATGTACACTCACAAACAGGGAGCAGGTAAAGGCTGCTCAGGCTATAGATGCCCCAAATAAATCAGTTGGATGAATGCTTCACAAGGATTCCACTTAGAGAACAAGCTTAATTCCACAATTCTTTATTTACAGATACCTTAAAATCTAAGAGAGGTTAAACATAAACAATTCACCCAAGGCAGAGTGCTCCAAGCACTATCAGGTTCACTTGCTGCTTCAGAACTCCGGTTCCGGAAGACAGGTTACTGACGTCAGACATAATGTGATGAGGACACTCAACATGACATGTTTTGCCAATACGATCGGTTTATTCAGACCTGCCCTCACACTGCTGGCAACGATATTTAAGTCCATTTTATGAGTGGAACTCACCCAAATGGTCTGAACATAATTTCCTCTGATTAGGTATGTTCAAAACCATTCATTCAAATGCAATTAAAGCACATAAAAACATAAATATGTATAAATAGGGACTCTAGACTATGTTAATGTCCATAAATGAAAGGAGAACATAAAGTTATTGTATTTAAAAATGCCACATATAAAAAGGAATCAAATAATGGAAAATCAATATTAAAATATACTTAGGCACATATATAAGTATAACACCAACTTATATTCATATAAAATATAGCTGCTCAAAATGAATATAAAAATGCATATATTTAAACACCCAAACAGAAAAAAAAATCTGAATAAATGCACATAAAATCAATGTTATGATGACCTGAAACTACGATAAATTAACAATGAAAAATTAAATAAATAAAGTGTTAATAAAATGGAATGGAAAAAGCTGCACACATTCACCTTTAAATGGGGAAAATTAGACCACATCATATACTACAATAAGTAAAAAAATAATACAAATTTAAAAGTCAAATTCTATATTTAACACATTGGGTTCCAGTGTCTAAAGTTTGTGAACCCATTTCATCTCTTCATTTGTTAAAATTGACATTTAATATTACAACATTTTGTGTATTTTTCCCCACATATTCAAAGATAATACCAAAACATATAAAATATAATAATGTTGCAACTTATTGCTTAATTATTGTATATTAATTAAAATATTCATATTCATATTTAAGTCACGGCCACAACATCCTTTTCCAGCTTACATTGTGCTCGCTTCTATCCCATCTTCATTTTATAGACTTCTGTGTCTTTCCCACCCTACCACTGGTTTAAAATCTCCAACTTACTAGTCATTTTGTCCCCCAAGCACAGCAGACCCTCTTCCATTTGGTGTAATCCATCACGGCTTTAGAGATTGTACCTAATGCAAAATCATCAGTCACACACTCCCTTGTTTGTCTCCCATTACCTTTTTACTGTAGCACGTGCCAAAAGTAATAACTCTGAAAATATTACCTTGGAGGTAGTATGCTTCTAGTTTACTACTTATTCTCTGGACACATCCTATCATAGCCTCCATTTTCCTCTGTCTTTGTCATTGGTATCAATATGCACCATGACTTTGCCAACCCCTCAAATAATCCATCCAGTGTGTCGGCAACATGCCAGACCTGAGCACCCTGAAGACTGTAAGACTGTAAACAGGTTAAGATGATCAGAATATATATATATATATATATATATATATATATATATATATAGTTATGCATAAAGACTTAATGAAGCAAAAAGCTGCCGGGTGCTTTAAACCAAGGGTTGGTAATGTAGAAAGATATGTAAAAAGGTGAGCACTTATGTTCTTCAGGAAGATTAAAACTGATACGTTTATTGAAGATTCATTGAAAGGAGATCATCATTTCAGTCCATGAACTGGACTTTCCTCAGGATCAAGAGCATAACAGAATGTACTTGATCCTGACGAAAGTCCAATACATCAGCTGAAACGTTGATCTCCTTTTAATGAATCTTCAATAAACTTATCTGTTTCAATCTTCCTGAAGAACATAGATGCTCACCTTTTTACATATCTTTCTACATTACCAACCCTTGGTTTAAAGCACCCGGCAGCTTTTTGCTTCATTAAGTCTGAGTGCAAGGAACTTTTTAATATATATAGAGGATATTGTGGGATAGTTCCATGTGGGATGTACACAGAGTCATTGATTTATGAACTAAGAATATATGGTTCCATTGTGAGTCGGTGAGTGAAGTTGTTGTGTCTTGTTCCCATGCTCTTTTAAAGTGCAGGGAGTTCAGGTTGGTCGTTGAATGTTCTGAGGCATATATCAGCAAAATTAGTTTTTGGGGGGAATTAAGTTTTAGGCTTATTTTTTCTATGTCCGACAAGAGTGGCTTGTGGTTCCCTTTTGTGGGCGGTGGGAGACGATGTGTGATCCAAGATTTTAACTACATGTAGGAAGTGGGCTATGGCAGGGAGGCTGAATTCAGTCTGAAGGTCTGTAAACCTTTTGAGGTGTGAGCCTTGGAGAGTGTGGACACCATGCCTGCGCTAGATTTGGTAGTTGATGTCAGGGATAATTAATGGCAAGGAGTTTATTGATAGAGCAGGTGATATCTTATCTGTCATTCACATTTTGTAGTGGTAGTTATCACAGATGTGTAGTGTGAGCTTCATCGTTGGTAGTGTATGTTGTGGTTTTGCCCTTTGTTCCTTGGGCATCCATGCCAGTACAGTCAGGGGATCTTTCCCATGTAGTTGGCTTCTATTGTTGTCCAGGCTAGTGGGTGTGGGTGGCGAAATGAGGACAATAGGGGGCTCTGTGTGTTGCTCAATAGTATCGCCTTTTGTCTGGCATCCCCATTCCGCCATGGGGGAATAGCTTGTTTAATGCTGTTTTTGCTACCCTGGGTTTAATGTTATCCCATGTTAATGAGTTTAGGAGGTTTTGCATATCTGAGAGGTACGTGGTAGGGACTTTAAGCGGGAATGTGCAGAAGAGGTATTGCATTTTTGGTAGCAGTATAATTTTGACCACAGCAATTCTCCCCATCCAGGAGATAAGTTTCCCTCTCCACCCCTGGGTAATGTTTTTAAGTTCACTTAGTAATTTTGAATAGTTTGCTTTGTGTAAGGTGTTCGTGGTGGGTGTGAAGTTGACCCCTAGATTTGATATGATTGCGTCTCCAGTCGTAGGTAAAGTTTCGCCTAAGGGTTGTCATGTCCTGTTTGGAGATGTTGCCCAGTTCTAGTGTCTTCACAATGTTGAGTTTATAGTATGAGCATTTACTGTATTTGACGAGAATATCATGAACGTTTGGTAAAGATATATGTGGTTGTTCGAGAGTTAAGAGGATGTCGTCTGCAAATAGAGATAGTTTATATTCACGTCCCTGGAGTTTTATGCCGTTAATGTTTGGGTTGTCACGGATCCTCTGTGTAAGTGGTTCCAGGGATAGAATGTAGAGCAGCGGGGAGAGCGGGCATTTCTGTCTAGATCTGTTGGATATGGTAAAATGGCAGGATATGAAGCCTCCGTTTACCACTTTAGTGGTAGGAGTAGAGTATAGGGCAGTAATGAGGGAGGAGAATTAGGGTGGAAAGTCGAATTTCTTAAGGACCGCGAGGAAAAAGGGCCAATGTAGTCTGTCAAAGGCTTTTTCTGTGCCCAGAGACAGCAGGACACGGGGGCCCCTCCTCCCTGCATCCCATACAGGAGGTCTAAAACATTTCTTGTGCCATCTGCGCCCTGCCTGCCCCCCACAAATCCCACCTGGTCTTCATGGATCAGTGAGGGGATAATTGGAGCCAGTCTGTTTGAGAATATTTTTGCTATTAATTTGATGTCTGTGTTAAACAGGGATATTGGCCTTAAATTTTGACTTCTGTTTGCAGTTTTTCCAGGTTTTGTGAGGGTGGCAACACGTGCCATTAACATGTCAGGGGGCATTGTGCCTGTGGTCAGTATGTGATTGAATGGCTTCGTGAGATGGGGTGCTAGAAGAGGTGTGAAATGTAGGTAGTATGAGTTTGTGAAACCGTCTGGTCCCGGGGATGGTGGATGGTGTCCAGTATTTCTTGAGTGGTTTTATGTGAGGGCATCAGGGTGGGTAGTGTCGTTGCTTCCAAGAAATCTGCGATCTCTTGGTGAGATGGTTGGTGTAGTGTGTCGTCATCACGTAGGTTGTAAAGGGAATTGTAATATGCCGCCATTTCGTTGTTTATTTCCTGGGTAGTTTCTTGCCTGTGTTCATGAGCAGATATGGGATTTTGGATTTGGCTTGTTTGTGGCATAGTTACGCCGCAAGAGTTTTTCCCACTTTATTGCCCTGCAAGTACATTTTTAATTTCAGTTTAGTTAATATGTGTGTGGTTTTGTTTAGGGTTAATTTGTTGATGCTGTTCATTGTCTCAGCAATGGTTTTAGCGTGTGTCTCAGAGGGTTGTAGGAGATGGGTGGTGGTTGCGTCCCTACGTAGTAGGTTTAGATGCTCTTGTTGGGATTTCTGTTTGATATCGGAAGCGCGGTTAATTAGAAGACCCCAAATTACTGATTTGTGGGCTTGCCAGGTGGAAAGGGGGCTCACGTCTTGGGTTTCATTGAGTTGAAAGTACGTTTGCATGTGGTCTATGAGGTGTTGTACGAAGGGGGCATAGTGAAGAAGGGAGTCGTTAAGATGCCAAGGTGGTTTGCCTCCATGTGGATTGGTGTCCCTCAGAGTTAGGGTGATTGGGGCATGGTCGGACCACACTATGTCACCTATTGAACATTGAGTTATATTGGGTAGGAGAAGCCCGGTGGTCAGAATGAGATCTATTCTGGAGTACGTTTTGTGTACCGGTGAATAATGAGTATTCTCTGTCGTTTGGATGAAGAGTTCTTCAGGTGTCATATAGCCCGTGCTTTGTAAGTGCTTTGCAGTTGGTTTTTAATTTAGTGTGCCTATCTGAGGTGACCGGGATAATTGTGTCTGCTGTAGAGTTTAGGGTGTGGTTGAAATCCCCGCAGATGATCATTTAACTGTCAGTATTGGTGGGTATTTTTGCTAGGAGTTTCTGTAGGAAGTTCCATTGCTGTTTTGGGGCCGTATAAGCCTGTTCTAGATAATTTACTGCAAACCAATTAGTTTGAATGACTATCTGTTCCTGTCCAAATTAAAGATAATAAAGTTGCGTGCACGCAGAAGTAAATTCACACTGAGACACAAGGTTCAGGGTAATGAAAGAACTTCAGAGAAGTTTAATGGCTTCTGACAGAAAATGGGTGCGCAGACCCTTATAAAGGCATTATTACATCATTGAAGAAAATCAAGATATAGACAAATAGACATTGTTAATTGGCTTAGGTGCTAAGATGTTAGTAAAATGCCCTCCCCATTCTTAGGTCACTATCTACGTAATGCTTTTCTCCCCCAGGTTTTAGCGCCATTTTGCTAACATGAGGAGCTTACTCGACGGGAGGGGCCTTTTGGCAGCTATCCATTTAGAGCGTAACTGGCACTTGTTACTTTCTCAAGGCTAGGTTTCAAGGATTTTAGTAAATACACATTTTATCAAAGCTATTTCTTGCTGACATGCAAATTCTATGTTCTATAGACAAAGCTTCCTTGTAAAACTATGGGGGCCTCTTAGAGGTATAGCAAGAGGATTTAAAGGGGCCTTACAGATTTATAGAGGCCTAATAATTCTACAACAGTCCCCCCTAAAATGTTATTTGCTAAAAGACAAAACTTTATTTGTTAGTATCAGAAGAAGTATTAGCCCAAAGACACAGAAACCCCATGACCGCTGACTTAGTGTTAATGCAAAGTGCAAGTCTATCCCTCTCTTGACCCTAACAGGCTACAGCACATCCGTCAGTACGGTTCAGGAACACTCTTCACTCCGCTGGTAACCCATAGTGGCTTATCCACTACTTCTCCGTACGGCAGTCTACCCATAAAGACGGACGCTGTCCCTGTACTGTCCCTTCCTAGACTTTCTGCACTTCATCAGTATAAGGGAGAGTTTGTAGCGGAATACAGGGTGAGATGAGGTCTTGATCATCGATTGTCAGATGAGTGAAGGTTGGTGTTGCTTGGTCTACAGTTTTCTGCAGGAATTTCCTTAGGCATGGGAGGACACAACAAATGAGAAGAGCGAGAATAAAAAGAAAAATTAGTAAGGCAATACCAATCTGGACTAAAGCTCTCTGCCAACCAGTCATCCAACCAAACCATTTTTCCCAGGGATCAGTAACTCCAGAGTTTCTCTTTAACTCTTCTGAGAGTCTATTTAATTTAGCTATGGCTAGAGTGACTTTACCATTAGGACCTGTGTTTTCTGGAATGTAAGTGCAACAAGTCATAGTGTCGGGAAGTATTTTACAGACTCCCACTTTTTCGGCTAAGATCATGTCTAAGGCCAGTCTGTTCTGGAAGGTCATTTGGGTTGTGGCCTGTAATTGCTCGGCCAAGCCCTGGAGGGCATCCCTGGTGTAGTTCACGAAGCGCTGTTGGTTGTAATAGATATAATTAATCCAATTAAGGTTTTTGTTGGCAGTGACTATGGTAAAAAGTGATTCAAAACCTGCAGCTACTTCATCTCTAGCTTTAAATTCATTAGGCACCCCCCTAGGCACCCCAATGGCATCTATGTAAATGTGGGGGTCAAAACTGCCTTTTACTGGGGTTTCGCACCTTACTCTGGCTGATGTATGTGGAGGGTCGTATGTGTCATGATGATTATCAGAAATAATATGAATGGGCATGATAACTTTGGCCAGGGTACACTCACCCTACCACTCAGTTTCCAGCCTAGATCTTAACTGTAGATCCCCACATAACCAGTAAATATCCCCCAATGACCTGGTATGGTGTTGCGTATAGGAACAGTTCTGTAAGTGGCGCAATAACCTTTAGAAAAATTACCCATGAATTTACCAATCCCGTCATACATGGCATAACAAGTGTAATTACCTCTATAGACTGTGATTCCATCTGGTGGCTTAACATTTTCAACTAAGAGAGGGTATTCTGCCGTCCATGCCATGCAGAGGGACCTATTAAAGTCATATTGGTAGGCAAAAAGGCTTAAGAAGCAATCTTCTATCTCTAAAGGGAGAGTTAGGGGGACGGTGCCAAGGTGGGGTCGGGCACCGCCACATACATAACATGCTGTTTTATTATGTTTGTTAGCATTATACCTCATCCATTCTAACCACAAATTAATGTCATTGAATCCAGTTTCAGCGGCCATGGTATCTTCAAAAGTGGGGTTAGCGATGGCCATCATATCTTTAAAGGACTGGATATGTGGTTTTAGCGGATTTGGGACCATATGATCAGCCCCTTGCCACTCTGGAGAGTGGGACATATCTCTGAGGTAGAAATTACCTAATTTGTTGTAGGAACCTTTCTTCCAATACATTCCCATTACATATCGGTCTGCATCCTCGGGGCCAGGATGTTCAATATTTAACATTAATTTCATAGGGGTACTTCCTCCAGGCTTTCTTAAAGTCATTCTTTGAAGGAGGGATCTACCCTGATTGTCTATCTTAGATAAAGCACTTTTGGGTTTATAACCCCAGGCAGGCCCAGTATTCCATCCCGCAGCCCCCCAGTAGTTACAGTCATAACCCCATTGTTCATCTACTACACAAACGTAAGGGTCTTTTGCTTGTGGGATATCTTTATAAATGGCTTGAATCTGTGACTTAGGGAATGGGCACTCTACAATATCACAGTAATCAAAAGTGAATGTAGCCACATGGGTACATGATGAATTATACCAGAAAGTGTACCCACTAGCATCTTTGGTGATGGCCACCTGCTGGGCTTTAAGGAGGCCAACTAAGGAGATAATGTACCAGAGGCACATGGTTGCATAGAGTTAGCTTCCTCTGGGGCAGGTGTCTTCTTGCAAGTGGGAAGCGTGGATCCAGTTAGGCCTTCCGGCCAATTTGACAGAGGTAGGGGAGATCAGGAGAACTTGGAACGGTCCGTCAAATCTTGGTTCCAGGGTGTGTTTTCGCACAAATTTCTTGACCAGAACCCAGTCACCGGGGAGCAGACTGTGGTTGCCTGTGTCAGAATCAGGATCTGGAATTGAAGAGAAAACTTGGGCATGGATTTTGTTCAAAGCATTTGCGAGTTCAGTTACATAATCTACTAAAACATCAGTTTGAAGATGTAGTTGTTGGGGAAAATAGCAACCTAGCCTAGGTGCAGTCCCAAATAGAATCTCGTATGGGGACAATGAGGTAGTATTTTTGTACAAGAGCATTCATTAGATCTTTTGATAAATGTGCAGGTCTGTGTGCCCATTGTACGACTGCTGGGTACAAATTCTTAGGGAGGCAGAAATTGAGGTTGTTGGAGTACACTCCATCCTTCAGAACTGCCCCTTTCTGTTTCCACTTCTGTATTTCTTCAGGGGCAACTGTAGCCTGTTGTTCCAGCAGGATTTTCAGGTCAGTTGGAAGAGTCTGCAGAGTAAATATGGGAGTTTCTTCATTTCCGGACACTCTTCTTTCCACTTCCTGTGGTTCTTTTGCAGCTTGTTTTGCAGCCTGATCAGCTAGATGGTTGCCCTTTGCTTCATCTGAGTCCAACTTCCCATGTGCCTTTACCTTCAGAATGGCCACTTCTTCTGGGAGTAGGAGGGCGTCCATCAGCTCCTTGATTGCGGAACCGTGCTTGATTGGTGTACCGGCGGTGGTAAGAAATCCTCTTGTTTTCCAAATTAATCCGAAGTCGTGAGCCACGCCCAGTGCATATCTTGAATCCGTGTAGATATTGGCATGCTTTCCTTCAGAGATCTTGCATGCTGAGGTCAGGGCTTGCAATTCAGCTTCTTGTGCAGACATAGTTGATGGTAAAGATGATGATTTGACAATTTCATCTGTTGTGGTTACGGCATATCCTGTATGGTATCTTCCTTCTTCATCAGCATATCTTGAGCCGTCCACAAACAGGGTGAGATCGGGATCTACCAATGGGTCTTCATGCACAGTTGGTAGATGTGTTGTTTCCATTTTCATCTGTTCAAAACAGTCATGAGGTGTATCTGGGTCGTATTCATTCACTATGGTTAAATCTTGGAACTTATTTTCCAGGAAATGACGTGGCCATGCTTTTAGGTGGTCAGTTGTTGGATATTTGACAACACCATTTTCCTGTAGCTGTGATTCGTCCATAGTGGCCCATGCTTTTGCCATAGGCCCAAGATCATTCCATGATATTGTTTTCAACTTGGTCACAGGGACATGTGGAATGGCAGTGTCCCAATGACTGTACAAATGCTTGAGTTCCGGAGGTAGATGAATCAAGACCATACTGTTGCCTTCAGAATCACAGTAGAAGTCTTGTGCAGTGAGTTTTACTTCGACCAGATGATAGAGTTCATCTTCATAGCAGGGTTCAGGAGTGATGTTTGATCTGTACCACATGGTACAGAAGGCATATCCTGCTCCGTCATGAAGGAGTGCTTGTCCATCATGAAAGGATAGGTTGGGATGCATTTCCTTCTTGATGGTGCCAGTGAGAAGAAAAACATAAGTTTCGTCCATGATGAATCCGTAGTATACACCCCCCTCAGGGAGTGGCAGAAGAGTGGACGGATTGAGAACTTGACATCTTTGGAGGGTAATGTTGTCAGGCAACAAAAGATGACATTGAAGGCGAAGATGCCTAGCAGGAGTAACATGCTTAAGTTGGACCTGGTTGACTATGGCAGAAATGTCATGAGGGGCCAAGACAACCAGGGGGTGGCCAAGGACAAGATCTCCAGTTCTTTCAATGAGCTCTCTGGCAGCAAAGACGGCCCGAAGGCAAGAGGGACGTCCTCTGGCCACAATATCCAGTTGGCAGGAGAAAAATCCAATAGGCCTTTGGCGGCCTCCAGGACCATGGGCCTGAGTGAGTACTCCTGTTGCATGGCCTTGTCTTTCAGAAACAAACAATTTGAAGGGTTTGGTATAGTCTGGTAGGCCAAGAGCAGGAGCAGAAGCAATAGCACGTTTGAGAGAACAGAAGTTGTCAAGGGCTTCTGTGGACAAGCAAAATGGGTCTGACTTGAGGGCATCATAAAGAGGTTGCATAAGGAGCGAGGCTTCTGGGATCCATGCTCGGCAATAGGAAATGAGGCCTAGGAAGGCGTGTAGTGACTTCGAGGTCCTTGGAGGTGGAATGTCCAGTACCGCTCTAACTCGGTCACGGGTAAGATGTCTGGTTCCCTGAGACAGACAATGGCCAAGGAAGATAACAGTAGGTTGGCAGAATTGCAGCTTGAGACGTGAAGCTTTACATCCTTGTTCTGCTAGGTAGCAAAGAATATTAAGTGAGCATTGTTCTGTTGTGGGTATATCATCTCCACAAAGCAGCAAATCATCCACATATTGAAACAGGACGACCTCAGGGTGGTCAGATTGCCATGGATCAAGGATAGAGCACATGGCCTTCGCAAATTGACTTGGTGAATTTTGTGCCCCTTGGGGCATGACAGTCCATGTGTACTGTTGTTTGTCATGTGTGAAAGCAAACAGATATTGGCAAGTTGGATCCAGGGGAACACTGAAGAAGGCATTGGCTAGATCAATGACAGTGAAGTACTTGGCAGAGGGTGGAACGCCGGAAAGGAGAGTGTGTGGGTTGGGCACTATTGGAGTGTCCAAAACTGTGGCTTTTACCGCTCTGAGGTCTTGGACCAATCTGTACTTTTCTGGTTCGCCTTTTGGAGTCTTTTTCTTTACTGGAAATAATGGAGTATTGCATGGTGATTCACATTTGACAAGAGCACCCTTCTCCAGGAGTGCTTGAATTTGAATTGTAATGGCTGCAGCTTGAGCTGGTTTCAAAGGATACTGTGATTTTCGTGGCAATTTTACGCCTGGGATGAGCTTTACCACCACAGGCGGGACCTTTAGATGGCCTATGTCCTCTGGGCCTGTGGACCACAGCTTCTTGGGAACATCAGTCTTTAGTGAATCAGGGAAATTAGTCCTTAGGTCTTTTGCATCCCCATGAGGCTCTTCTAGATGTAGCATCAGGGGTAAGGAGCACAAAGCTGAGGTGTCTGAGACAGATAGAGGGGTGGATAGTTCCACTTGTCCATCTGGAGTAAAGGTGATGGATGCCTGCAGGCGTGAAAGAACATCAGCTCCTAACAG